TTTGTAGATGAGATGAGACTTATTCTAGTAGTAACGTAAATAATAATAGAGAAAATGACGTTTTAGTAGAATCACAGAAAAGAAAGAGAATCCCCGTTTCTAGATATGGTAATTCCAGTTACACACTTTATTTTTGTTAACCATATTGATGCAAATGTACCAAATTCATTCGAGGAGGCGATGAACTCCAATGATAGTAAGCAATGGCAAATAGCCATGGATTCTGAAATAAATAGTTTAAATAAAAATAATTACTTGGCAAATTGTAGAAAAACCAAAAGATAAAAGGTATTGATGTTAAATGGGTTTTTAAAGAAAAGTAATAATGAATTTAAAGCTAGATTGGTTGTGAGAGGGTTTCAGCAAAAAGATTTTTAATGAATATGCTTACTCACTGTTGAAAAATGCAAACTTTGAAAATTTTATTGTACATGAATTGTAAAAAATTATTTGTAGAGCAATGGATGTTGAACAAGCCTTTTTAAATGGTTATGTAAAGTCAGAAGTTTTGTAAACCAGAGGTTATAAAACAGGGTTAATACAGTTTACAAATTGCAAAAAGCTCTATATGGTCTCAAAGAAAGTCCTAGTGTGTGGTATGATTGTTTTGTTTATTTATAAAAACTTTGAATTTTGTTAGTAGTTTGATTACTGTTTGTATGTTAAAAAAGCAAGCAAAGATCCAATACACATATTAATATTTGTTGATGATCTTTTATTATGTTGTAAAGATAAAAATAAAATAAAAGAGGTGAAAACAAGTTTAATGAAACGATTTGCAATGAAAGACTTGGGGGAAAATTAAAAGCTATATTGGCATAGATATTGAGTATAATGATGATTAAAATGTGATGACATTAAGTCAAACAAAGTATATTGAATCTTTGGCTGCAAAGTATAATTTGGTAAATACTAAGTTATATGATACTCCTATGGAAACAAATTTAAAATTAGAGCAAGCTAGTGAGGTCGATGAAAGTATTAAGTACAGAAATATAATAGGTGAATTATTGTATATTAGTACAGGCACAAGACCAGATAGCGTACAGCGTTAATTATTTGAGTAGATATCAAAGTTGTTATAAACGAACACATTACAAATATGCAATGAGGGTGTTAAAATATTTGTATAAAACTAAGAATCTAAAGTTAACATATTATGATAATGCAGATGCTGATATTTTAGACTGTATGGTTGATTCAGACTATGCAGGGGATAATGTGGATAGGAAGTCTACAACAGGTTTTATTATAAGATTTTTTGGAAATTTAATATTTTGGAAAACACGTAACAAAATACAGTAACTAAATGTTCAACTTTTGCAGAGTATATTGCATTGTCAGAGGCAGTAACTGAAGTACTTTTTATAAGAAATTTGTTAAGTGAGTCATTTGATATAAACTTTTCTTATCCAATAAAATTGTATGAAGATACTCAGGTGCAATTGCAATAGCTAGTATGGTAACTTTACTAAAAATTCAAAGCACATTGAAGTGCAATATCATTATATAAACGAGAATTATGAAAACAAACTTATTGATATAATTAAAATTGATACAAAATGTAACTTAGCAGATATGTTGACTAAGAGTCTAGATAATCAAAATTTTTGAAAAACAGGTTTGAATTAAGATTAATTTAGTTAGAGTTCAGATTATTACTTTAAAGTACTGTTTAAGTAAATATTAAAACTGTAATAACTTTAAAATACTGTTCATGTAAGATAAAATGTAAGATTAAAATTTAGGAGGGTGTGTTGTAATAAGGTAAATTTAATCTTAAGTTAAATAATATAAGTAGCGCCATTAGTGTTAGTTGGCAGTTTCTCATAGACGTCGATATTTATCTTATTCTTTCCTTTTGTCGTCTGCATGGCGCCCATCATGTGCTTTCTGTGAGATTTATAATAAAACTACGAAATATAACAAGCTATTATCTATTATTCAACCACATCCACCACTTCAACAATAACAACATGGATCAAAAAATTGTAAGAAAATCGGCTTGAAACATAAAAGTTGTGTCTATTCACCCCATTTTACGGTACTAAAGTATTTAACTCAACCTACTTACTTTTCTCAACTTAACGGAAATATTTCATATTTTATGAAGTATCTTTTTAGTACCGCCACGTGGTAACCCTACCTAAAAAAAAATAATAAAAAACGCGCGAATTTTATTTTCCCGCGTTCCACAGATTGTTAAAAGAACACAAAAGCGAGTACAGACCACAGAACATAATTAAAAGGAACTTGCTCATCATCACGACGAGTGAGGAAACGTTGGGAATTAATGAAGCAGTTTGAAAAATAACTGACGCTACATACAATAGGAGAGTGAATAGGATTTCTTATGCTATTGTTTTACATTATCTTGAGTATAATCCTTAGCTGGAAGTACAGTGACAAACACTTTTCATTGTATTGTCGGTGTTGGTACTTAGGATTTATTTGAGTGTTTAATAAGTTGCATTTCTTTAATCGTTTATTAATTCATAGTCTAACCAAGAAAATCTGTAGCTGCGAATAATTTAACCAGTTCAAAGCAGGAAAAGGATAAAAATGGTTTTTAACCAGTAACAGTCTGATACTCCCACTCGCCTCGCCTAAGGCGGGAGAAGTCATTTTATGATTTTCCCCCCTCAAAAAAAACCCTCGATGAGAGCGAATTTAGTTAAGATTATCAAAGATACAGTGGTGATCCCGATCTAGACTGTTTATAAAATAGATAGAATAGGTGCATAACACATTATATCAGACAAGGAATAATCACTACATAGTAGAGGTATAAAACAAAGTCTATCCGCCGTCTGTCTGTCCCTATGAATGCTTAGATCTTTAAAACTACACAACGGATTTTGATGCGGTTTTTTAATAGATAGAGTAATTCTTAAGAAAGGTTTATATGTATAATACATGCAAATTGCACCCGTGCGAAGCCGGGGCGGGTCGTTAGTATAAAATAAAAAAGGATCACAAAATAAATGGACATGCGATTGTATCAAGACGGCTTCAACAATTTCGACATTTCGTACATAAGCGTCGTAAGTCAAATATTACCTACAATAATACTGTCTTTTCAGCAATGAATTTGAAGTTCAGTTATGATTATGAACGTGCGAAGTATGGAGTAGACAAATATTGTGGTAAGCTCATCGGTGTGGGATAATGCTGTAACTGGATTAGTGGCGACTGGCGTTTGCTGGTAACGCTGGTATAGACGGTTAGACGCAGCTGTGGTCTGTTTGTACAACCAGAGGTTATGACTTATGACCTAGTTCAGACATTAGCGCTTGACTTTGCACTTTAGTGTTAGCATTTTAATGAAGTTTTTTAATTGCTCAGTAGATGATTGTGTTTGGTGGTTTATCTAGACTACATTGTTTTAGAAAAGTTAAATTTAAAAAAGTTAAATTACTAGTCTTGTTATTATTTAGGAAGGCTAATGCTGCAATTAGGTAATATTTCAAATTCAACCTTTAATAAGAACCAAACCCTGAAAATCATGCCTGGAAGTTACGCTTATGACCACTTGATCAGCCAAGCAGAGAGGTTTAGTCGGGCGTAACAAAGTACAGTATGATTACCCCCCTAAAAAAAAAAATGGTGCCTATATCTACTAGCCTTTTTCAAGCGGACACTACGGCTATACTATACGCATGGATGCCACCTAATTGCCATATAGGGCTTCGCAATTTACCCCAATTGCCATAATATTTTCTTTAAGTACTTAAGTAGTAAAAACTTAAGACATATAACATAACATCTCGCCTTTTCTCCCCGAAGGGGTAGGCAGAGGTGCACATTATGCCACTGTACAATGCAACACCCACTTTTCACTATTTATGTTACGAGTCCCATGTAATAGGGGGTGAGCCTATTGCCATATACCGGGCATAATTCCAGACTCCGTGCTACTACTGTGAATTTTTTTAACCCCAGTAATACTTTGCCCGCCCCGGGAATCAAACCCGAGACCCCTCGCCTGGCAGCAACGAGGCAGTAAAAACCTAAGACACCACCTAAATTATGATAGTTTTCTTCTCCCATTACAAATGTCACGTTATTTGTACCTGCCCCTATAATTTGTTGTAGCGAAAATGTGAGGGTAGCGAGCGTGGTACCTAAATGAAGTCTATAGTAGGTACGCTAAATAAATGCTGAAAAATGTGAAAAAGCTACCCGTATAAAAACCCACCTGTGAAAATTTTAATCATAAAGTATAATTGGACTGACCATATGTTATGCATATGAAAGAGCACAGGGGTAACCAGGGAGCCCTTCGTATTAGATTCATATTTAACAAGGTAGGGTCGAGCGGACATCATAAAATTTTACTGTTTCGCGCTGACGTCCGGACAGGCTCCCGTACTCGGATGAACTAATTTGTGTTACATAGCCTGTATGCCAAAAATAGACCTCCAACGTTATGAGATCGTGCAATGTTAATTGAAAGTTATTCCAACCTCTTTGTACTGGTTTAACCTTTTTGAAAATGTTTTAACCTCGTCTGTAGTGGTTTTATTCATGTATCGGTCTTTTAGGAATTTTTGCTGCTTACTCATTCATAACATTATGTTTACTTCATTATTCAAAGCCCATCTATCGAATAAATAAACTTCACCTAATAATTAAAAGAAAATTCAGTTAATGATAACGAAAAGTCATAGGTACCTTAACAATTTAACTAATGAATATACCTATCGATGTCTGAAAAATGTAATTTATGTAAATTGTATCTTTATAGCAAGTCATCGACTTACGAAGCTTCATTACTTAATGGATAATTTCGTTGGCACTGTGCCTAATGATTTTAGTTACGATTCTGCGCCTGCGCTACAAATCTTTTTAAAATACTCTTCTTAATAAGTTGTTCTTATGTAGTTTTTGTCATTTTGTGTAACTGTAATAAGACATCTACCAAATCTTACGTACCTACGGTTAAATCATAAGGATCCACGTAAATTACTTCAATACACTAATTTAAGTACTTATTTCAGATCGCGTGCCCTGCAGCGGTGTTCGTAGCAAACATCCGTGCGACGTGCAGCATCAAGCCAGGCTCGAGCGCACAAACCATGTCTCACCCCCGCGTCCTCTAGCTCGTAACATGCACTCTCGCGGGCCAGTCTCATTACTCGCTCATCTAATATCCAGAACTAATCTCACAGATTAAACTGAGATTTGGTCTAAGATTGGCTGGCCAATCTATTTTATACAAGCCCTCTACGCACTATCCATCACGTAGAACGCGAGGGGCATGTCCGATTGCCGCAACTATCCCCAAAAAGGGAGAAAACATCGTAAAACGGAAATTATTCCGGCTAGAAAAACAAGGTTTCGTCCAACAATACTTCCTAATGGTTTGTCGTATAGTGAACTAACGTTTAGTACAATGTATCATGCAACAGAGGGCAGCAGGGATGAATAATGCATAGAGGGCTTTAACAACAAACTAGGAACCGACGGGCAACGCTCCGAATTTTAAATAGCGAGTACTGAAACTGGCCCTTTTTGCTTCTGTGGCTTAAGAATGCCAAATGAAGCTTGTAAATGTAATAAGCAATATAGTAAAGGATAGGCGTTGGATGAGAATATTATATGATATTTGGAGGTTTGATGATGCAAGGTAATTTTTAAGGATAGAGGTTTGATAGCGGTCGAAGTTGTAGGGTTGGACAAGTTGGATCAATTCTAAATTGTCGTTTACCTTCGCGGTAGCGTCGTGATATAAATTACTTCAACGAAACTAAGGACTTAGGTATGTTATAAGATTCGGATGGTGAGCCGCTATTGTAGCGGTACTCATTTTTTATTTATTTATTTATTTATTTATTATTGTGATGTTAACACGGCTTTACACCAATTACATTAACACACATACAAAGAGAAATCAAAGAGAATCGAACGGTTACAATAACAGAAAAAGAAGAAAAAAAGAAAAAAAAAAAATGAAACATAATAAGCGTCACATTAAAAAAAAACAAAAAATACAATTAAAATTCAATTAAGAAACATAAAGAAAAATTAGACAATTACAATAGTAAATGACAAAAAGGAAATATCACAGTAAAATGAAATCAAAACATTTAATTATACAATTCAACACAGACTTCAGAGACTTTCACAAAAACTGAGACAAACCTTTTTAATAGCTTTAAGCTCGTCCATGAATAGGTCGCAGTCAGGGTAGGCTTCCACGAGGCTATTGAGCGCGGACAGGATGCGAGGAATGGGGGACGATGCCCGGGCCACGGTACGACTTGCGGGCACGGATAGTAGACGGTGCCTCCGGGCGCGTATGTAGTTATTTGGGGCATACAATCGAATCAGCTCACTGTGGAGATCAGGAGCATCTATGATCCCTCTGCAGATTTTTAGTGTGATGTGAAGTTGATTGTATGCCCTTCTAGTATCCAACATATTAAATCCTAAACATCCTGCAAGGTACTTTGTTGGATACATGTATGGATAGTAACCCAGAGAAAATTTGTAGAGGAACCTCAAGAATTTCTTTTGAACTTTTTCAAGTAGGAGTGAATAAGATGCCTCGTATGGACTCCAAATGCAGGAGCTGGCCTCCAGTTTGCTCCTGACAAGAGTATTATATAAGAGTCTTATCACGTGTGCATTCTTGAAATCTTTTGAATTTCTTAAGACGAATCCAAGTCTTTTGAATGATTCCTTAGCAACCGTGGCGATATGATCGTGAAATGTCAACTTCTGATCGAAGACGACACCCAGGTCCCTCATACTTGATGATCTGGTTATAGGTGAACCATTTATTTTATAATCAAAGGTGATAGGGTGCCGTCCCCGACCAAAAGTCATGACGTAACACTTAGAAGGATTGAAATCCATTTTATTTGCAACTCCCCAATCATAAACCAGGTCTATGTCCCTCTGAACAGCCTCACAATCCGATATGCTGTTGACACAAGTGTAGAGTTTTAGGTCATCAGCATACAGAAGACATTTTGCGTGTTTGGGAACATCTGGGAGATCGTTGATCATGAGAAGGAATAGTAAGGGGCCAAGGATTGAGCCTTGACTTACCCCGGATCGAGTGTGGTAAGTGCTGGACTCGTAAATTCCTAATTTCACATACTGCTGACGGTCACGAAGGTAGTCAGCCAGTAAGCGTAATAGGTTAGGGCAAATACCTATGGCATAAAGTTTCGCGAGCAAGATATCATTGTTGACGCGGTCAAATGCCTTTCGAAAGTCGAAATATAGAACATCAACCTGATGACGTCTATCTAGCTGTGATGAAATATACTCCGTCAAAGTCAACAAGTTAGATTCAACGGATCTCCTACATCTAAAACCATGTTGTGCGTTGTTAAGATGTTTTTCGACTTGTTCATATATAAGTTTATGGAGAACATTTTCAAATACTTTAGCAGGTGACGATAAGACAGCAATAGGACGGAATTCCTCTACAGCTGTCCTGTTCGACGTTTTAGGTATAGGCGTCACGCGCGACACTTTCCATTGGAGGGGATAAAATCCAGTCTGAAGTGATAAATTAAATATGTGGGATAAAGGAGAAACGAACGAATTCTTGAGATGCTTGAGAATAGTGGGTGGCATACTATCCGGGCCTACGGAACTACTGACTTTAAGTTTATTTAACCCATCTAAAACATCCTTGGACGAGAACTGAAAGATGTTTATGTAATTGCTATTTTTGGTAGTGTCTGAATTACCAATGCTGGTGACATTTAACAGTGGTTTATCCGGAAAAACACACTGGCAAAAAATTTGGCAAAAACCTCCGCGGCTGCAGTACCGCTGTAACTATCGCCACAGTAGCTCACCGACGGTTCAAACCCTCCCTTAGATCTCAAACTGGATATATGTCGCCAGAATTCACGCGGGTTTACTCTAATATTATTCTCTACACGTTTGATATGCGTTTGATATGCATTAGCAACGCGATATTTTAAGGTACTCCGAAGATCTGAGAAAGGCTTATAGTCTTCAAGGCATTTAGAGCGCTTCCAAGTAGCGTGCAATATGAGCTTACGTTTGACATCTTTAATTATGTCAGACGTAAACCATACAGGGTACCGCTTAGTTACCTTCCTTGAACGACTTTTCTTAGGCATGCAAGTATCAAAAGTATCGTAGATAATATGATAAAAGGCATTCACCGCATCAGCAACGCTAACGGCCCGCAAAACAGGATCCCAAGATGTCTCTGATAATAACAAGTACAGTTGCTCGTAGTTACATTTGTAAAAGTTCCAATCTCTGAAAGGGTTGATGTTGCTAGGATCCATAACATTCGAACAATGAACTGATTCAATTCTTACCTCAACTTCCAACGGAGGGTGATATGTATCTGGCTGAACAATACATCAACGCCAGACACAAACACTTCGTGAAAACCTTCCCGGACTAATATGACATCCAACTTTCCACCATGAACATTTAAAATATCATTTTTGTCAACTAAAGAACAAAATGACAAGAAGTAGCAGTAGTAATTAGTGATATTATTAGATGCACTATTTAGATTAAGATCACCCATTATAACAACAAAGCCCTTAAAGTCATGTATGAAACCTTCGGTTTTGCAAAACCAACTCATGTAATCTTCATCATTAGCACTAGGTTTGATGTACACAACACACACTAAGAATGCAAGGCTATGCCACGTAAAGGACGCCCACAAATCTTCGCCGCTCTCGGTTTCGTCTCGTCTCCTGCGAAGCACGAGAGGCGCTCGCGCCGCTAGTAGGACGCCTCCACAGGGCGCATTTCTGTCACGGCGCAGGATACACCAGTCACCAGTTTCAATCTCAGAATCCAAGACCGAGGAGTCCAGAAAAGTTTCAGTGATAGCAACAAGGTTTTGCTCCAACAGGGATAAGTGGTTGCGCCACGTTGACAGCTTCGTCTTCAGACCTCGCACATTTTGGTAGCAAACATGTATGTTTTTAAGACTTTTATTGTGTTTGTCCTGCGGACGTGCGAAAGGGCTCACGAAAGGACGGATTTTGTAGTTCGTTTATTTTGGGATTTGGGCTGTTCCTTTTGTAATTCATCCAAGGCTTCATTCTAGCATTCATTGGCCAGATTTCGGCAGAATAAATCCCGGCACAAAATTCAGCTGGAACACCGATTTTATAAGATTTATAATCCCCACGGGCCTTTAACTCTTCAACTGAACAGGTAGTGGTAGGATACAACTGAGAAAGGTATTGGCGAACCTCATCAACATCGGAAGCCATGTTCCAGAGGTGAAAGTATTTGCGTACTTCTATAGCCTTTAGTTTGATCGATAGAGGATCAGCAGTACCCTGTAACGGTTTTTCGCGCTGCCTAGATTTGCGCTTTTTAACTTCAACCCATTCTCCGTCACCCTCAGCATTATAGTTCTGACTAGGTTCGGCAACGACCGCGTGATTCAGTGTTTGACTTGCTGGTGTTGCGAGGGTAGTTTTATGTTTTTGGGTAGCTTGTTGGTAATGCTGAGAGTTGTCCACCTTTTGTTTAGGTACCTGTATGGCTGTTGTTGGTTTAATTGTTACATCTGGGCTACACGATGAAAAATTTAGTCTACGCTCATTTCGCGATGTGTCGGTTTGGATATTAATTTTCTCATGCTTTTCAAGCTTTTCATTCAGTTGTTTTACTTGAATAGCATATGCTTCTAACTTATCTTCATGGCTGCTGATTAAGGTCAATGCTTTTGTGAGCAATTCTTTAAGAATGAACATCTCTGACCGCAGATCATGTACTTCCGATATGAATGCAATGTTACCATCAACATCAAGATAGTTGACATAGTTGCTCGTAAAGGTAGTCGACTTATTCTTACGCATTGTCACATTAGGGTCTTGTTTTGTGCCCACGGGAGTAAACGAATTGTCTCCCCCTTTTTTTATAGCGCAACGACATTCTGGACAGGTCCATGTATCGATATCAATATTTACTAGGCTCCTCACGCCTGTGCACATGGGATGGTAAAATTTGCCACAATTCTCACGTGAGCAACGCAGAACTCCCTCGTCATCATCAATAATACTATAGCATGCAGAGCAATTCATAATTATGGCGTAAGCAGATTTGCAAGCAAGAAAGAATATTAAGTGTGTTTATCAGTATGCAATATTTAACAACAAGCGGTATTTGAACGCAGCACCACCCAGCGCAGCCGCGCGAGAACGAGCGAGTATTTGTGCGAGAAGGACAGCAACAGTGAACGGCGCGAGCAGCCCGCGTAGGTGTCAGTGGCACGGCGGTTAACGATAATTTTGAAAAAAATAATTGCTTATAACTTTGCTTATAGTGCTCGAATTAAGGTTAAAACACTTGAGTTCAACACAGTGCGCTATTAACTACACAAAATGATAAGTTATTTGTGCAATCACTAAGTTTTGACCACTTTTAAACAAATAAATAGCGGAGGCGAACGAACGAGATGTTCCCTTCAACAACGCGACGGTGCAACTGTTGCTCATATCCAATGTTTGAACCAAGTTCATGATAAAGTTGGACGTTGAAAAATTGCGAATACGAAAGTAAACGTTTGTAGCACAAGTATCTAGGAGTGTGGAAATGCGACTATTTGTTATATGCTCGCTCTGTGTTCTGTGCGAATGCACGCTAAATGAAATTAATATTTCAAACAGAGCTGAGCTGAACCAAGCTGCTTACATATATATTTGAAGATTCTGTCGCTTTGCATTGCTGTGCTCGGCTTTTATGAGCCGAAGAATTATGTCCAAAAAGTTAACGGTATAATTTAAGTGTTTCATTCTAAATGTTACCGCGAAATGTCTTATTAGTTCAATTATTTATACGATAATGAGGATATGAGTACAATGTGCTAATGTTAC